CCGTTTAACAAATTTGAATTTCAGGATAAGTGTAGGAACTCTTGATGAGGTCACAGAGGCACTCTATCTCTCTAGTCCTGTCCCTAGCTCTTCTCTTAACCTGATGATGTTAGGAGCACAAGTATACATCCCTTATTTAGTTTATTAATTTTGTTTGCACATAGATGGCTTCACAAGTACTTAGTCATCGAGGAGTCAGTTACTAGACCTACCTGATTACACCTGTTTACCCTGTTCCTTGTCTTCGGAAAGAAAGTTTTCATTTTTATTACTATTGGTTATATTGATAATGTTAAAATGATAATTACAACTATAATCATATTGTTAAAAACAATCATAGCATTATTAGGAATCTTTAAAAAACTGAAAATTTATGAAATGGAAGAAACAGGTGAGTTTGGGAAGCCCTAATAGATGAGAAAGGGTGATTAATGGTCTGTGGAGCCATATGTATGGAAACAAAGGAGACAAAGAAAAACTACAGTAGCCAGTCATGTACTCAGTGCTTGTAGGTTAAGCAAATTTTTTTTCATTCATTTACTCTCTCATCTTCTATCTTTGTCATTTGTTCAGTCTTATCTTGGTCATATATTCATTCTTTTTCCCTGTTTATCAGTCATTCACCCTCTCTTTTTCCCCTTATTTCTTGGCGTCCATCATCCTTTATTCATTCATTTTCTCCATTTTCCCTTTCTGCCCGTCTAAAGAAACTGTATGCTTCATTAGCTGGGATGTCCACAGCTGGATGATCTTGAAGTTTCAGGTTCAAACTAATTCTACTTTAAATTCTGATTTGGCTCTGTGGCGAGTGCATCTCCGTCAAAATTACTTTACAGATTCTATTCCTTTGTTAGTGGAAATTATTGAATATCACAGTACATTTTGGAAAAATAAAAATGAGACTACTCATCACCTTTAATACAATTATATGCATAATTAATTGTTACAGTTGCACTACTTACCTGCATAAGATATACTAGGTGTGATTGAAATGTTCCCATGGCCAGTGTTGTTTGTTTGTAAGTGACATACTTCAGTTTTTTTCCATCTACATGAGAGGTAGCAACCTATACAATCTTGATGTACTTTTCATCTTTATTTCTTAACTACTTTGTGTTTTTTTATTACTATTTTAATGGGGTTTGGGGCCCACCTCCACAAAAAAGCCCTCCTGGCTTTGTGTAGATCCTTGCAAATGACTCAGGAAGGTAGAACTGGTATCTTTATGTAAAAAAAGGTAAGGTCAATGGTTTTATCCAGTCAGGCATTCTTGAGGACATATATTTATATACATATACATATATATATATATATATATATATATATATATATATATATATATATATATATATATATATATATATATATATATATATAGACACACACACACACACATACGTATGTATATTACAAAATCGCTATATTTGTTTCAACATACTCTCAGGATACAATGCAGATCTTGTATGTTTACAAGAATTGGATGAACGACTGTTTCTCAGGGATCTCCAGCCTACTTTGGAAAGGGAAGGCCTTGAAGGATATTATGATGCAAAAGGAGGACAAGTCACTGAAGGATGTGGAATATTTTTTCAAAAGCAGAAGTTAAGGTGAATATAGCATATGATCATTCATACAAGGTGCAAGTTACATACTGCATATGTGTTATGTAATTGTGTTCATGGTTGAATCTCTTCAAAACAGTGATCTTTTTATATATATTACATTTCTTGCATCTTCCAGGATGGTAGACCATACTCGCATCATTTTAAGTGATGAACTGCAGTCCAACCCATTGTTTGAAGATTGGTGGGAGAAAATAAGCTCCAATGTAAAGCTTGTGGAGAGAGTGGTACAAAGAACCACAACATTGCAAGTTAGAACACTTGGGCAGTTGTTTTCTTTGTTTTCCCAGAGATGATAAATAAAACCTAATTTGTATGTGAAATATGCTATGATGTTTTGATTAACACAAGTAATTTAACAATATTTTACAGTAATAGAGTACAGTGTGTCTTGAAAAACAACTACACCCAAAGCCACACATACATTATTTTCCTTTTCTTCTCTTTTTGTTTACCCATTGTAACAGATAAGTGTCCTGGAGAGCATTGAGAATCCATCAAAGCAAATAGTTGTTGGAGTGACACACCTGTATTTCTATCCTGAAGCAGACAATATACGACTTCTTCAGGCAGGAATCTCTATGCGGCTCCTTCAGCAGGTCATGAGTCTGTGTAAGACAAAGGTAAGGCTAATATGTAACTGAAGATTCTCTCCCAGGTTCTTTAGGATTTCCAGATTTCTATTAGGGAAATGACAGATAAAGAAAATGCATCATAACCTTCAAAGCATTAACCGATTTGATATCTTTTGTTTCATATTTCATGAATACATTGTGTATTTAATAGAACCAAGATTTTATTTTTGAACTTCAATTTTTGTTATAGAAAAGTATTCTGGAACTTTCATTTTTCTAACAGAAGGACTAAAGTGCATGAGGGCATATAAACACATGCAAGCACACACTGAAAGAATATAAATACTTTCAAAAGTTTTGAAAATACTAAAGTTTTGCAAGAAATAAGAGATTGTTTTTTGCATTTTTTAATATAATTATGGTAAAATACACTACAAATATATTCCAGTGATTTATTACTACAGATACTTTATAGGCAATAACATGTATATACAAAAATGATTATGGAGAGTTTATTACAGTTTGATAATTCCCCAAAACACAGATTGTTGCTTAGCACCAGCTTCCTTTTGCTTTAGCTTGTGTGTTTCAAAGAAATTCTACAACATTCACGCATCAGGTACTACATGAATGTGCATAATAATTTTTTTTCTTGAGTGTTAGATGCTCAGGATGTATTTCCTATATTTCATAAGAGAAAAATAGAATCTGGAACTAGTAATTTTTTTGATAATCATGCACTAGCATGATGGCTATATACCTGAACTGTACAATTAATGGGTTAAAAAGTTTTGTAAGTTCTCATATTTGTGAGATTAGGTTAGAATCATTGTTTTGTTTGATGCCTTTTTAATATGTCATTTTTTTACTGTCTGCTGTTAGGTCAGTTGAAAAGTCAGTTGAAAAAAGGTTTTAATAGGACATTTTCATCTGACTGGTTTTGTGATGTCTGCCAAAAAATTCTTAGATTTGTTCAAACTTACTTCAGTTTTCAAATTTTTGCCACAAGGGGTAATGCCAGAATCCAGCTATATGTTCAATATCAAAGATTCTTTTTCATGTACACAAACTCCCATCATAGGGGATCAAAATTTAATTGATGATGACGATACATTTTCCAGCACCCAGAAAAGGATATTTCCCTGCTCTTTTGTGGGGACTTCAATAGTACTCCAGAGTTTGGAGTTTACCGGTTCATGAAGACACAGTTCATAGATGTGGATGATCCTGACTGGAATAGCAGTAAGTTTACCTTTTGATTTGATAATTTATAATTCATTCATGCTTGATTATTAATATGATATATGAGTCATCTGTCATATCTAATAGATACTCCTCTATGAAGATCATATCTAACATGCCAAGGTTTAAAAGAGAAATAAATACAGTGCAGGTTGCCATATTTTATCTCTTAAAGCAGTTAAGTCTTTTGGGAACAGAATGTGACAAATTTATCTGACTGTATATTTTAAAATATTTTTATCTTTGAAATATAAAATCAATGCTAGGTACATGATATATCTTTCCATATATTTGCAACCTATTATGCTGTATCAAAGCAGTGAAGTGTGTATTATTCATTTTTTATGTAAATAGGCAGAATTATTAGTTCATATTTTATTTTGTATTATGATTAGTTTCCTCAGTTGATCATTTCTAGCAACAAAAGTGGCTTTTGGATTATGTGCTATCGTCTTTGAGTTGACATGAGAGGATGAGTAGAAGTGAGTGTAACCTCACAGACTGACAAATTAGCAATGGTTGTATCTGGATTAGTTATTGTTAAGAAGGAGCTTGTTCACATTTAGCAGGCTTTGTGAAGGCTGTATTTTTCCATTTCCCTTGAAAATATCATATACATAGTTCATATTTAGAGTGATCTAGTAAACTCAAGCTTTTTTGCTCTTATTGAATGACAGTCAACAAGTCTTTATTCACACAGATTTAGTTCAGGAAATTTTGTCTTCATTAATCACAGTCATAGTGGCCTACTCTGAATAACTCAAGTTATACCAAGGATCACCAACTTTTGTTGACAGTGGCCAGGTTACCACTTTTCTTCTTTTAGCAAATTGTACAATGATACTCCCTCCCCCCCCTGCAAACAAACATACTTATAGCATAAATGGTAAACTGCAAGCATTCCTGTACATTCTGTATGTGTTAATGTGCAGTAGTAAGCAAGAGGAGTTTATGTTGCCAAGGTTATATGTCCATCTCTTGTCACCACATAGCAACTCAGCTCTTGCTCCCAAGTGGGAGAAGAGTATGTTCCATTCTATCCAATTCCTCTCTGACAGGCATGTCCACTGATGCACCCACTCAGACTACACCGATTAAAAAAAGTACCATACTTTAACCTGACGAGAACAGATGTCTGATATTTTTGAGGTAAACCTAAAGTTTTCAAGATAACCTATCTACCATCATAACAGCATTACCACCTGGCACCATACTGTACCTAAGGTCATTTCATCAAGAATAGACCAAATCCTAAAGCATTAAGTAAATCTGTTGTAAGAGCTTCTGCACCGAAGCACTGTTCACTAGGAGGTAATGCAGTAATCTGTGTTTGGGGTATTTGATAGTTTGTCTGGACTTTCCCTGGTTTGTCAAGATTAAGCATGAGACTTTTTCAAATTTTCATTTTTTTACAATTTACTCTGCAGTCTTGACTAGACTTAGAGTTTTTCAGAGTGGGCACAGAAGTGGGGACTGCTAGTCAAAGGAGACAGATATTCTAATTCATCATTCTTTAGATATGACCCTTGATAGAGGGAGCAGAGTTTTGATTGGTGATGTAGGACAAGCAGTTGATAGACATATATGGCTCACATTTCTAACACATTTATGAGGTGATTGAAACAAAGAATCTTTTCATAAGCACTAGATATATATATATATATATATTTTTTTTTTCTTCTTTCATTATTATATCTAGTTCTTCCTTTTTTCTATGTGATCACTGTACAAAGGAGTTGGATAGTATTTGCTGGAACTCTTGGGTTCCAATGAAAGGTGTCTGAATCGAAGAACAGAAGTTTGATGAAAGGTTTTCATGTGTAGAGGTTATTATACTGGCAATAGCTCACAGAGAGAAAAAGAGTATATATAAACTATAAAGCCATTGTTTCAGTGCAGCACCAATAGTTTCAATACAATATGTTATTCCCAGCTTGTAAATACTTCTTTGTAGTATGTGTTTCATTATAAAGGATTCAGTGCTAGAATTCCATGTCTCCTTTGTGACCTGAACATGTGCTGATGATGAAGTGAAAGAGCTTGTGGCTGAGATTTCTTGCTGCTTGAATCACATGGTCTTCTGGTGATTTGGAAGAATGTTCAGGTGATACAGGCAGAGTCTGAGATTTACTGCTCTGAAAGGGAAGATATTAGAGAGGATTACTTACTATTAAAATAAAGATATAGGTTGTTAAAAAAATGAATAAGCTTGTATATTTTTGACATATTTTAGACAAAAACCTAAAGGTTTGATATGGGTTGTGATATGGAAAGATATAGCAGGACAATGTCACTACTTCATAATACACATTGTACATTTCAAAGTTATAACAAAAATGTAGTGAATTAAGGTCTGGAAACTAAAGCAGATTTGGCATTTTTCAACTCCATAATTTATATAATTTAGTGCCAGATGAGTGTGTGCAGGGGATTCAGCTGAGCCATGATCTGGAGATGGACAGTGCCTGTGGATGCCCAGAGTACACCAATTATACAGTGGGCTTCAATGGCTGCTTGGACTACATATTCTATCAGAATGATAAATTCTCAGTAAAACAGGTTGGTATTATTATAATTATTTTATAGGTATATGAGTGATATCATCAGATAGGTAAATGGTAAGAATGAGGAACACAAGACTAGGAGAAAAATTTAAACAAGGTCATATTGAATGATTGAGAGCATTACAGATATAACTAGTCCTTTGTGTTCAAAGATACGTCAGATAGAGATACTTAGAGGAGAGCCTTGTCCACATAAAGGACAGACAAGAATAATAGGACATTAAGAGACAAGAAGGTCTTCTAGTTTTACCAAAACAAGCAGTTCCCAGGTGGGGCTTTTCCCACTACAGGAAACAGACACTGCTTTTCATCTGCACAGCAGACATGGTTGAGGTTGAGATCTGGTTCTGGTTCCATTTTATTTCTTCAATGGTCAACCTGTCATTTCTTTGTTTCTGACGTCATCCCCAAGCCAGTGGTGTGATCTGCTAACCACATTTGAATTGCCCCAAGTGATCAAGTGATATAGATAAAGGCTACTCTTTTGGTTTGGTACTAATCTTTTCCACCCATTAAATCAATATTATGATTTTAAAGTCACCACATATTTAATTATTTTTAATATTATATTTACAGAAAAAATATTAAGCATAAGAATATATTCTTTTATTTGTACTGAAACGTACATCTAAAAAATAATCCTTTTCAGGATAAAACACTATTAGCCTTTTCCTATCTATTTAAGTTCAACTAAATTTCTACTTTCCTGTTTCCAGATCATCCCGATGCCAACCCATGAAGAGGTCACAGAACATGTTGCACTGCCCAGTGTTACATTCCCATCTGATCACATAGCTCTTGTTGCAGATTTAGAATTCAAAACTGCAGGGAAGGACCCCTTATAACAACAGTGGGATGATTTAAAGTTTAAGAAAGGCACTAGATAACATTTGCAAACACAAATAAGAAAGGTGGCTCAAAGTGTATGAAATTCTTTATACTTTCTATGCACATATGGATTTCAGTGACGCTGTATAATCTGGAAATTAAACAAGATTAAACTAAATATTTGTTTCTTTCATGACCAAATGGCAAAAACCTTCACATAAATTACCGTAGTTATTGGTTTGCATAACATACAATTACACTATACAAAAAAAAGGTGGAGTGGAAACCAAGTTGACATTGAATAGTCATATCTTAGCTCTGAAGACTAATTTCAAGACCATGTTGTCAGTCCATCCAGCCATCATCCATCCATCCATCCATCCCACTCTCTCTCTCACTCACTCATTCTCACACTCACACACACATACATAAACACACTCTCACTCTCTCGCACACATGCATGTATGTGCACTTATTTCTGGTTATCTTGGATCCAGGACCTCAACAGATTCCATTTTGCCAGGCTAATAAAGATCAGTGATAATGTATTACTTGTGTGCTCTTTAATGATCCACCTTTCATATCTGTTCTTGAGTTTAACATGCAAGGAAATTCTTAGAAGTAAGATTCAATGCCATTTTCTTTTCTCAACTGCAGGAAAAGTTCCTTTGAATGTCTCGTTTTATTTCCTTTCATAGAAACAATTGGGTTCATTAGGCATATTCTCTCTATACTCCTCAATAAAGATGTTGAGACCAAGAATTGCAGATTTTGTGTGAACTCATATGGAAGACCTTGTAGCCTTACTCTTTAAATGGTTAATGGTTAAAAGCAAACTAAATGCTAGACATCTAAGGTCATATAGCACTATAGGAAAGTATATTAAAGGAGGGGTGAAGGGTGATAGTTGCTATGCGTTAACTATCTAGAGTAATCTTGAAAGGTTAAAGATGGGTAAAGGAGTTGTTGTGTGAATGGACTATGGTGGGTCTAGGTAAGGGAATTACATAAGGGTTTCATGTGAGTATCCAGGAGGGAGTGGAAATGATAAGAGGGGATGGAGGGAGGGAGAATGTACATGTAGTTGGAGTTGAGGGGGGTGGGTTGTGTTGGGAGGGAGCAGGAGGAAGTGGTGTAAGGGGAATATGAGTAGGAGGAAGAGCAGTAGTTGGAGTTGAGGGGGATGGATTGTAAAGGAGTAGGAGGGAGGGGTGTAGGGGGAATATGAGGAAGAGATTGGATATCAGTAGTATCAGGAGGATGGATATCAGTAGTAGGCAGAATTGAAGGGGGTGGGTTGTGTTGAGAGGAAGTAGGAGGAAGGGGTGTAGGTGGAATATGAGCAGGAGGGGGATGGATATTGGCTGTCACTTCGACTGTGGAGGGAACATGAGTTGTGGAATTTTGTGTCTCAAGCATATAGCTTTGAATATCTTCCATATTTTCTGCAGTAGAGTTGGTTGGAGAGTTTTGTGAGACAAAGGTTTTCTTATGAGGGGGGAAGAGGAGTGGTGTCTGAGGAATAAAGGTAAAGGTAGGTGGTGAGTATGCAGTAGGGGAAGAAGGGGGGGGGGGGAGTTTTGTCTGTCATCTGTGGATAGTACGGGGAGGGAGAGGGGATGGTGTTGAGGCTGTAGTTGAGATTGGAGCTGTAGCTGAGATTGGGGTGTTTGGATTTAGAGTGGTAAAAGAATTTGACAGGGGGAGGTAGAATGTAGAATTGGAAGGGGGGGGAAGTAAGAAGGTACAGGGGAGGGTGTAGGAACATCTTGGGGTTATGACCGGGTTGGGCACATAGGGGGCATCAGTCTGTGAAACAGCAATGTTTGGCAGTATGTCCAAAGCACCAACAGTTTTGACATTGACGGGGAGGAGGTTGGTACGGTAGAACAGGGAGGGATTGTCCACCAATGTATATACGAAAGGGAAGGTCGTGTGTACGGAAAGTAATTTTGGCAATGTTGTTGGCTCTCTTTCGATGACCTCTAGGAGGAATGGACAAGCACTGTACTGACATCACATCATGGTCTTTGAGACAGCCGAGTAAGTACTCTCCACAATCTGACCAAACGATATCCATAGGGCAGCTTGCTAGGGAGATAGAGACAGTTCCAGTGCAAGTATTAAAAGTTGGATGAGGTTCTGCAGGAATGGGATTGCTAGAGAAATCAGTTAGATTCGATAATGCTATAGCTTCAGTTTCAGATGTAACTGTTACAAGACAGGAGCGATTAGGTCAGGTACAGAAACGGACTCTGCCCACCTGCTCTTGGAGACATTGATGAAAGAGAAAAGTGTTGCCTGAGTAAGAAGCTGTAGGGGGGGATCAAGAAAAATCGGTCCCATTTGGCTGGGCTAAATAGAGTATTGAAGATATTGATAGAGTTGTGGGTGGTAGAAGGACGGGGACGTGTGGAAGAGGGAGTATTGTTGAGGGGGTTGGTATTATGGAGAGATGGAGAATAAGGCTGTACGGTAGTAATAAGGGAAGATGAGGTGATTGGTGAAGAAGGCTGTTGGGGTAAAGCTGATGAAGTTGAGGAAGTTGGGAGAGTAGGAGTCACGACACGGGTGGATAATGCACTTGTAGGCATTGAGGAATGGGTAGTAAATGTAGTGTTCAGAGTCATGGTCAAAGGAGAGCCTGAGGTTGGGGAGCCGTGAGAGTTTGAAATGGTGGGGCTATTTGATGAAGGGGCAAGCCTCATTGCTTCTAATATGGGCATTACTTCTTCATTACTGGCCATGGGAAGCCTTGGCTATGTTGGGTAAATAAACAGTCCACCTCTCAGGGTCTACTTGGGGGTAAGGGCTAGACAACTAAACAGGGGAATACTATATCCATGGTTCCCTCAGGCTGTTCATGACTGCCCCAAAGTCAGCCTTTCATCCTTTTAGCACGGCTCTTGCACGTTAGGAAGTAGATAGTAGTAGGGGTTGGAGAAGAGACGGAAACAAAAGAACTGGAGGTAGAAAAAAACATTCAAAATTAATGAGTCGAGGACTGAGGCCCTAGGCAGGGGAGATCCCTGCACTGGGTCTCTGTCTCCGTCTCCTAAGCCCCCACAACGACTGTGGCAAGGGATTGGGGGGGGGTTACTCTTTAAAGGATGATCCAGATGTCTTACCTTTGCCATTGTTGGTAGTTTTGTAACAGGGAAATAAATGAAAAAGCTCACAGGGCTGCACCTTTTGTTATTTAATAAAGACTGCAATAATATTAACCAGCAGCTTGACTTGCTGATGATATTCAAGGTCATACTTATTTATTTCCAAATAAGCTTTCATTTGGCATTTACAGTATTATTCAGAGCCTGTATTTGTGGTGCTTTAAGCAAGTAAATATGTGTTATACGGTTATCTCTAAAGGACTCATGGGAAAGAAAGGTCTGTGTATTTCAGCTTCTCTTTGTGCATTAGTGTATGCAAACATTTCTAATTGTAGTGTAAATGCTTGTGGATTTTTAAATATGAGTATGAGTCCCATATTTTAGTTTAATCCTTTATACTTGGGTGATTTTGCATTTTATACCAAGTATGTTAAAGTATGCTTGGAAAAAAATTATGAGCCAACTTTACATTTTATTAGGAAAAAGAGAACTGTACACTTTATATGATAACTAAATACATTAATTGTACATTTTAAAATACATACCCTTTGTTTACAGTGGTCTGTACATACATATACAATACTAGAGAGATTTCTTTGATGACATCAGCTTAAGGCTCAGAAGTCCCTCACTAAGTAAATTTACTTTTTACACACACTTCAACATATCTCACCTGACCCTACCCATCCAATGGATACTGCTGCCACTTACTGCTGCCTTACTCCTGTTTTCCTATCTTTTTTCTTCTCTTTTCTTATTCTTTTGCTTACATCAACAATTATCTGCACTTCCCAAATTGAATTCTGACATGTTAATGGGGCACAGGTTACGAACGAGAAACCTTCATACAATCTAAATTCAATTATTTTTAAACAGATATCAAATGGCAAATCCACAAAACAGGAGCAGAAGCAGCAAAGATCTTGCAGCTTTGTGTTTGCCTATACATTAGGCATTATTTGCCCAGGAAAGTTTTATGTGAAACTAGAAACTTAAATCTGAGAAAAAAGTTCCATGAACTCTATACAAGACAATGTATTACTGTTAAACCAGAGTTGCAGAGACTGTGATCTAGCTTTGTTCTGTATGAAAATAACAATATTTTCCATTTCTGATAAGGTGCATATCTACCATAATCAGTTTTCCTGACTGCCCTGGTTTGTTTTTATACTGGAATATAAAATAAAAATTACAATCACTTGTAATCTATTAGCTGCTGACAAGCCAAAGGAAATTATATGTATAAAATTATAATAGTAAACAGACAAGTCAATGTTCAAGGCAAATCCACTGATTAGTAACACTGAAACAAAAAAATAAAACATGGAGTATATCCATCTATGAAGAGACTTGGCTATGAGAAAATATAAAAACCCTAGGGTTTAGATTATCACAAAACCACTCCAGCTCCTCATTTAACTGTGCAATATATAAATTGTCATTCTAACAGTTAAAGTTGAGTATTTTTCTTTATACTTTTAGGTATGTAGTCCAAATGGAACAGAACAATTTTTTAAAACTAACTATAAATGCCCTTCACTCTTCTGTTCTTGTGCAATTACCTTAAGAAATTATACACTGCTATCTGTAAAAATCCACCCCAACTTTTGCATACAGGTCCACATCATTTCCTCCAAGAGAAGCCATTCTAATTTATGCTTATCATTTTGTTAATAATGTTATTAGTATAAGTTTTCACTGGTTTCCATTTACAAATTTTCCTCTATTTGTTTATACAGATTTATTCTTCTTTCAGCCATGAGCTTTAATGATTAACTCTTTTTCTAGTCATGGAATGAAGGAGGCTTCTTTATTAGCAGCAACTCTGTACCCTTTCTTTTATTTAAGATGTTAGTGTATGCAGGTAAACTTCAGTAACCACACTGAAGGCACCATATGGTTACTTTACACATTAACTATACCATGAAAGAAAAGAACTTTCTTCACCCAGCAACTACAGAAGTATTCCTATTTAGCATTCACTGCTAAAAATTCATTAGTCAGTAATGTTGCTCACATGTGTTGAGACTATATACAGCACCATACATCCCTTGTGTGATTCCTCCTGTCTTCTAAACTGCTGTGAATCATCTAAGTGATCAGAGCATTTTACAGTTCATTTTCTACAGACTACTATTAACATAAATCAGAAGACTGGTAGATATGGAGATGTCTGATGCATGACACACTTAAGCTGTTTCAACAAATATAATTATTTAAAAATAGGACTAGGATTTTGTTCTTTACACACCTCACCAAATAATGAATTTGGTAATTATTCTCAAATCTCAAAAAATTCTTTACAATCACCAATTGTACCATAAAACATCCATATTGTCTAAGAATGACAATCTTTTCTCTAAAAATTGGTCTGCAAATTTATAGCAATAAAAATTGTCATATTTAGAATTTCCTTTTCAATAATATAATAAAATGTCCTACAGTACTACTGAAGGTTAAAAAGGAAATGTTACAAATTTTATGGGCTTTTACAAATATCAGTATTATGACCTTGTGTAGCCTCAGCCTACTAATTGATGTTTTTCTTTCATTTCCAACTGAATGTTCTAAATGACTAACCCTTATTTTTGTTTAATATAAAACTGAGTTCATTACACTGAGTAGTTCTACAGCAACTTGGATTACTGGGAAAGAAAGTGAGGGTATTTATTCAATTTTATAGACAATCATTGTTGATTACACATTTAGCTAAAACATTCAAGGCCAGAATGATTCACTACGGTATATCAATTATTAATGTAACTATTTATACTACCTGCTCTTCAACCAGGCCACTACAGTGAAATTAGGTTGACTGATTATTTAATCCAATTTTTTTCTTTGTTTTGTTTCATTTGTACATGTGCTCTCTTAAATACTAACATGTACATAAAAATAATAATGATAAAAAAGTAGTAGTAATAACAACAATAATCATTTCAGGTTGAGAAAAATGCATACAGATTGTTTGGGTCTGAAAGTGGAACTCCATAAAACTAAGTATCTTGCATTTTGCCATAAATATGGATACGCTTAACGACTTCATGGTACGTGAGATCATGTAAAGGGTGTCTTAACAAGCTTAAAAACACAATTTCTCTTTTTATGTTGATTCCTCTCTCTTCAGACAATTAAAACAATTGTTATTCCTACTATACAACTCAAGGTTGTTCTAGGTTGGAGTAATCTCTCTTGCACACACTATCACACACTCATTACCTATTAAGTATTAGATGAGAACTCAATTGCATGAGTAGATCACATGACTAAAGAATCACATACAAAGTTCTTTACCATAATAAAGTCCTATATGGCTTAGCAACTGCCATCAGGTATTCTTTCTAGGTCTGACTACCAGCCAACATCTCTTCTATAATTTAGGAGTAATCACACACCACACCAGGTCTGTCAGGGGAATAAATACTTTTCTAACATTGTCAGTGAGGTCTGTGCTACAAGTGGAAGATCTGAAACTATGGTGTGGGATTAATCATATTATTGATAAGAGGTAATTGGCCTTCAGTCTAAGTAGTGATGGACCTAAATAAATTGGTCTTCAAACGCATTAGCTTAGGACCGAAGGACCTAATGCTTTATAATCTAGTGGCACACACACTATGCTTACAAAACCCCAGTCTGGGCTGGTAACTGCATCATTTGTTTCTGATGCTCTCAAAAAATTAGGTATCTAACTATGTTTCCTGTGGAAATACATCAGGTCAGCAAACTTTTTGTTTTTTTACCATTATCTTAAAGCTATTGGCTGTGATCCTCCTCTGTGCGTGCAACTGGCTGCTTATCACTTGTCAGTATAAAAAAGCTCTGCACTAGGAAATAAAAATAATTCAAACCACTGGAAGAACAAATGCAAGTATCACATCAAGCTGTTCCAATAGGCTAGTATAAAGTTGAGGAATACCACCAGGTATCACATTTATGGGGATGCATTCACACTAGGTACCTACATTCATCCACTGCCTCTTCACCCACAACAAAGTCTTTCTTCATTTTGCTGTACTCAGATCCTCTTAAAACACAGGCATCAATCACAAGTAGCACCTATACAGTGGGCAGAGCTGAGCAATAAAGCTAGAAGATAATTCTTTAATATAAACTATTAGTGAATGTTTTCCTAAAATGATTATATTGCAATATTTGCACAACTTTAAGATTGTAAAATGATATTCATACTTCCTGAAGGTAAATTATAAAAATATTTAGCCACTTGGCTTGGCAAAATAAATTATAAGAATGAGATTACCTTATTTTAGAGAAAGTCCTCTTTATATTAATGAAAATAAAAGGAAGCAAAAAGTGAAAATTAAATAATTGGTATCCAATCTAGCAGAATTGTCATTGCCACTTCCAGATGGTCAGGTAATTTTACAGGTCATGCATATCCCATGGGAGATAAACCTAAAATTTTAGTTAGATTAGCTTCATCCCAATCAGGGGATGTAGGCGATGCCAAACCTACAGGATGTGCCATTTGGTGCGAGTTGTCAGTTCTCTCAAATGATGGGCTGCAGGAGCCACCAGCTACAACATCCAAGGGTAAGTCTTTTGGTCTAGGAGGTGGAAGAGGCGGTTTTATTCCTCGAAAGGCTGACCTGCCAAGACCACCATCAAGAGCTGCCAAGAAGCTGTGTGCCTCTGTTGTGGGAAGAGGCAGGCCAGGAGCAAGACTACGTTGGATGACAACATATAATGCCATGCTTGTTACCCTTGCCTCATCCACCTCCCCTCCAACACTGGACTTCCTCCATACACTAATAACTTCAGTTCGAATTTCTGCACTTATCACATTATTCCACAGGTGTTCCACGCCCCTGTATGAATAAAGAAGGCAAAAGAGTTATTTAACTTTCTAAATTCAGAAGTAATACAGTTCACCTGATTTACTGGTTTTCATTTTATTTTTCAACCCTAATACAGAAGCAATATTTACACATACCTCAGTATATCTCTTGGATTATTGGCACCAAGGAGGGTTTGTATGAAGAGATGAGGTCCATGAAGTGCTGATGAAAATCCTAGAGCCATAAGAGTTGCAGCAAGC